AATGGCATAGCCCCTGAAAGAGAATGGTCCCTACTAAATACAAGGATTTTATTTCATCTTCCTGCCATGGGCAGAGCCAAGGGCTTCGACCTAGGTTATTTATTTATTTATTTATTTTATTTATTTTTTTGAGACACTCTGTCACTCAGGCTGAAGGGCAGCGGCACGATCTTGGCTCACTGCAACCTCTGACTCCTGGATTCAAGAGATTCTCGTGCCTCAGCCTCCCAAGTAGCTGGGACTACAGGCATGCATCACTACACCTGGCTAATTTTTGTATTTTTAGTAGAGGCGGGGTTTTGCCACGTTGGCCAGGCTAGTCTTGAACTCCTGGCCTCAAGCCATTTGCCCATCTTGGCTTTCCAAAGTGCTGGGATTACAGGCATCAGCCATCTCAACCAGCCTGATTTATCTTTAATCTATTAAAACTTCAGCTTGATTTTGCTGGATTTAGTTTTAGTTTCTCTCCTCCCTTCCCCCAAAATATATCAAAACTTCAATTTAAATTTGTCTAAATTTAGCCTCAAAAAAAGCAGACTGCTGTGATTTGCTTACTTTTTGAGCTCTGGCTTTCTCTTAGCTTTTGGCTTGGCAATTAACATTTGCTAATTTCTCATTTTTGAAATAAACAAAATTTAAAAACAGAATTATCACATAATCCAGCAATTTCACTTCTAGAATACCCAAAACAATTAAAAGCAGGGACTCAAACAGGTATTTGTTCATCCATGTTAATAGCAGCCTTGTTCATAATAGCCAAGAGACAGAGGCAATCAAATATCTATCCACAGATCAAATGTTGTCTATATAAAAATAGAGCATTATTCAGCCTTAAAAAGGGAATTTTGACACACAGGCTACAACGTAGATAAATTCTGATATTATGGTAAGTAAAATAAGTTTGTCACAAAAGGACAAACACTGTGTGATCCACTTATAAGGTACCTAAAGTAGTCAAATTCATATAGAAGGTAAAGTGGGAGTTGCCAGAAGCTGACAGCAAGGAAGAATGGGAAGTTATTGTTTAGTGGGTACAGAGTTTCAGTTTGAGAAGATAAGAAAAGTTCTGAAGAAGGATGGTGGTGATGATTACACAACATTTTGATTGTATTTAATGCCATTAAACTTACATTTAAAAATAGTCAAAATGGTACATTTTTGTTATGTATGTTTTATAATTTTGAAAAATATTTACGAGTTTTCTTACCTACCCATTTATTATAAATACATAAGCACATTAATAGTATTCATATGCTTCTGAGAAGTATTTATACGCTTAACAAGGACGTCTTCAGAAAGTGCTTTGTGGTTTAACTGTCAAGTCTAAAATACCATTAAATAGACTAAGCCCTTACTCATATAAACATTTGAATTTGAAAGATGTTTTCTTCATACAGAACTATGTGAAGGAAAAATAACAAAGGTATTGGAAAATAGCAAGACATAAGAAATAAAATTAGGCCTCATTTGATATTCTACTCCCAGTGTCAAAAGGCTCATAGAGATACATTTCACATTACTTCAACCCAGATATCTTTGAATCAAAGTTATTTCATATAATGCTATAATATAAAATTGTATTTCCAATTAATTTTAAAAATCTATAGTAATACTCTCAAACATGAGCAATATTTAAAAACTTAGATTTGTAGAATTTCACTACTATGTATTTATTTTATAAAAAGTTCAATTAGAGAATATTTTAAAAGTTGAATTCTTAACTAGTTGTATAAGCATCAATTAAGTACTTTTCATTATAAACATATTTACAGTTAAGGGATTAAAAAAAAAAACTTCTTATAAACCACTAACACCCTTTCCTAGGGGTGGCTACTCAGGCTCCAAAAATAAAGAAGGGGACAGGAGAGGAGGGGAGGGAAAATGAGAAGGAAGAAGAGAAAAGGAAAAATGTTTTGCTTGTCAAAGCTCCTCAGGCTCTCTTTACCACTCTTAACTAGTCTATTATCACCTTAGAAACAAATGCATCCACACCTATCTTAATCTATTTCACGCTACTTTTAAAGAACAGGTATATTTTCTGTAATAAGATCCCTCCATAACTTTGTGATAAGGTGTTTCTACATTTCTCACCTGTGGCTCCTTCCTTTCCCTTTATTTTAATAAAGATGCTTAAATTTCCTCCATCTTAAAAACAAAAATATTTTCTGTGACTTTGTATGTCCCTTTTATCATGGCCTTTAAAATCAGTGGCCTTGAAGGGTAATCTTGACTCCCTCTCTCCACTTCTCCAATTCTCTTATTAATTCACTCTTACCTCTTTCTCCATCCTGCTCTTGTCAAAGTCTCTCTTGCCAAAGTCTCAACTCATTACTGAGAAAACCAACAGATATTTTCAGTACTCTCTTTGGCATATGAAACAATAGACCGCGCTTCCTCAAAATTTGCTACTTTTCCTTCAGTGTTATTCTTCTTCTTATCTGCAATATAGTCTAGTTTCTATGTTTCTGGCTAAATAGATTTATAGACTTTTTTATACATATTATCACAATTTATGGAATCTTTACAAAACATTTTAATGAAATCAGGAGTCAGGAGTATCCCCCAAAATCTTTTGTTTTACATGGTAGTTTGCTGGTTATCTGGTAACAAAGCATTTATAAAGAACTATTAAACTTAAAGATAAACTATGCATTTTAGATAACTATCAATTGTTCTAAATTTGATCACTCTCTCTTTGGTAAAAAGTAGATAAAGTATTACATTATCGAGCAAATGTTAGAAAATAAATACCTTTCCTGCAAGGAAAATATGATATTTTGACAAAAAATGAGAAAATAAATGCTTTTTGAAATACACATTATGTAGCAACTATTTTAAAAAGAGTTCATTGTTGCCAAAAATGTCATTAATTAAAACATATCAGCACACTTCAGAAATATGAAAAACAAAATTTTTATCTGCTTTTAAATCTATCAAAACATTTTCATAGGTTTTGAACTTGTTAAAACTTTTGAAAGCAAATCTTTTCAATTAGTCTGCAGCAACAACTAATTGACATGAGGAAAGACAGTATTCAGTAGCTGATTTCAACAAAAACCTTTGAACTACTAGTAGACAGAATTAAAAAAACATAATTTAGTAAGCATGGCCAATTTTCCATTTCTTTCATTTGGATCTACATATCTTTATGAGGTATCTTTTTCAAGTGTAACAGTTATTAAAAGCCAGTATTCAAACAACTACACACAATTCCATTTTTATTACATAGTATTTTATTAAGTAGTTACATGTTTCACCAACCAGACTGAGTTATTTACAAGTGAAGACTTCTGTCTTCATATTTGTGTCCCTAGGACTTTGACTATGTGGCATACAATAAATAGTTATGCAATCAATGTTCTGCAAATGAATGACCAGAAATACAGGCAAGTATATTAAAATGAAAATTCACAAACACATGAACACACACATGACACTATGTGTGCAACTGTGTACTACTTGATTAGGTAAACAAAGTATTATCTAAAATGGGATTAGCCCCAAATCACAATGCTTACACACCAATTTGATGTGTTTTATGGGTCAGCTTAAAATTCATTCACATACATTCTGACTTTCCTAATTAGGATATGTTCTCATAAATGAAAATATCATAGTTATCTCATACTATATGACAGAATCTTTACTTTCAACATGTTTTATCATTGATATGAGGAATGAATATAAAGTCGAGAAAAAATAAAGCAAAACCAATAGAACTGTTCCCACGATAGAACAATGGATACATAACTCAATATAAATAAAACAGTAAATTAAAGATTAGATGTTCAAAATAACCAATTGGAAATAAAAATCAAACATCAGCTTTTTATTTATTATTATTTATTTATTTATTTTTTGGAAGCAGAGTCTTGCTCTGTCGCCCAGGCTGGAGTGCAGTGGCGTGATCTTGGCTCACTGCAGCCTCCATCTCCCAGGTTCCAGTGATTCTTGTGCCTCAGGCTCTTGAGTAGCTGGAACTACAGGAGCGCACCACCACACCTGGCTAATTTTTTGTATTTTTATAGAGACGGGGTTTCTCCACGTTGGCCAGGCTGATCTCGAACTCCTGAGCTCACATAATCTGCCCACCTCAGCTTTTTATTTTAAGACTTTGTTTATATCCACTAATCTCACAAAGAATTTGATGGCTACTTAGCATAATTTTCACCATGGTATAAATTTTCATTTTATGCTATATTAGAAAGTTATTAAAATAATAAATTATATAATTTTAATACAAATATTTCCCAATATAAAATTATACTTAGTTGTCTATGGTAATTAAAGCAAAGAAGCCAACATTCCAATTTTACCTGAAAAAAATTAGACAACGCACACATAAAATGATATTCTATTAGTATGTCTTCTAATTTTATCTTCAAAAGGAAAAGTTCTAAGAGAAAAGGAAATAAAATAAAGTAGAACAAATGCTGTTCCCAAAAAAGGATTAGGATTCATAGAATATAAATTTTTGCAATATAACACAGATAAATAGCTAATAATTATCGGAGTTATTAATTATAGTCAGATAAAAATTTACCTTATATAAAGCTAAAATACAAAATGATTAAAACTTAAGCTGAATCTAATGGGTGACAGCTACCAATCTTCTGTGCCTAAATTATATCTAGGGTCTTTTCTCTTCAAAATGCATTGCAAGGACAGCATGGAGCTCAGGAATACAAAAGCTACAAAATGGAAGGTATCGTAAATAAGGCAGTACTTCTATAGCAAATGTTATCACTGCTATTCTTTTTTTAAGAAACATTATGAAACTTCCCGGAAATCTTTCTTCCCCATTCCTAGATTTATCATTACCTTAATTGTGTAAATTTAATATTATCAAAAAATGTATCCATGGTATACTGATTGTACTCTAGTAGTCCCTAATGTATTAAAAAAAGTAACTATAATATTTAAAATGTCAAAACAAAATCAAAATAAGATAAAATAGGCAAAGTCAAATTTAAAAGCTAAGCTATCCCATTGATACCTACCTCCTGCAAATGCCATTAGCCAGGCATTTATGGCTACAGGATTTGGAAGAGAGGGGTGATGAAGTTGGGGACAAGTTGAGAGGGGCAATCAAACTGTTGATGATCTCAGTCAACTGTGCACTCTGCAAGGAAACAGTCAACCTTTTACTACTGCTAAGCAAGAAATGTGAGTTAAAGCTCACATGTATAGTGCCAATTAATGCTTAACGTCTCATGACACACGTTTTTATTTCAGTAAACATTTTATTAGATAATTTATACAACTGATTTTTCCATTTATTACAAATAAATCTATATTTTAATTACACATTCTTTTCCATATCCTTTTTTTATTATAGTTCCTTCATCTACCCATCCCATCATCAAACACATTTGAACCCAGCTAACAGCCTTTATATAATATTTCCCTTGAGGCAGGAAAATAAATAATTAAAAATCACAGATACAATTTATTAAGTGTCTACTATGTGCCAGGCATTATATCAGGCACCACACATAGAATATTTCTAATCTTTACAACTAACCAGCAAAGAAGATAGTATTAGAGGTATTGACATCACTATTATTAATACCAGTACAGATGAGTAAATTCTAGCAAAGAAAAAAAGATTAAGTAGCTTGATCAAGGGCTATAAAGTTGGTATGAAACAGAACTAGGATTCAAATTCAGGCCTAAATCTAACAGCACACTGTTTTCTAATATTTTTCCTAATTCAAAAATATCAGGGTTTTTTTTTTTTTAGAACCTAAGATTTCACTGACATTTGTCCCAAACTTAAATATGTGTAATAAATATTAAATTATTATAATATGCATAAATATTATTCTCAATCACAATTATAATAAGCAAAGGCCACATAAAAAGGAATAGTACATTTCTACAAAAGAATGACAACTATTTTCATTACACCCGTAATTCATCATAGAAGAACTGGAAAATATACAGACATTTTAAAAATGAAAAGAGAGTCATCTGTAATCATACTTCAAAGAGAAAACCAGAGCTAACATTTAGGTATATATTTCTCCCTCCAGACTAAGTTTCCTGAGTATATGTAAACATGAGTGTACATTCAACATGCACACATATACTTTTAATTAAATCAGGCTACATCAATTTTTTAAAACCTAATTTTCCTACTTAATATAGTGTGACTAACTTTTTAAAACATACAGACGTAGTTCAACATTTTCAAAACTGCAAGATACTCTATTGTGAAATAAAGGGATATATGGAATAATTAGTTTAGAATGCATCATTTGTAAGAAACTAATAACATGCTATTAGAAATGAGACTAAATAATATAATAAAGACTAATATTTCATCCCTTCAAAAAGTCTTTCATGAGAAAGACCTTGAAATGTTTTCATCATTTATTTTCAAGATAATATGCACCTAATGATGTCATTTTAAAAATTATTACTCAGTTTTTAGATTAAAGCTCATTTTTAAAATCACCAATAGAAATGGATTCTTCATCCATTTAGCAAGTAATCATCAGTTTAGTCATGCAAATAAATTCTGAAGTATCTCATATCTTCTGACTGGAAACACTAAAACACTCCTGTGATTGTTCCACCTCCAAAAAACATCATCTAAAATCTTTTAAGCCAATGGAAGTCGCTAGTTGGATATATGTGAATAATGGGTCAGGAAGGGGAAAATTACAATCCCTATCTTTACTCCAAGAATCAGCCTACTCTGGCCCAATAAAATCTCGCATACTTGAGTCATATGGGGAATACAGGGAATGGAAAAGTCACAGAGAAAATGTGAATGAGAAAAGTAAAATTAAGAGAAGCATAATTTGAACTCTGAAAACAAAACCTAATCAACTGTAAGTTAAAACACTAGCTACTCATAACAAGATTTATAATGTAAATACACCAGTAGCAAATTCATTTTAAATCACCTAAAGCAGAAGTCCCCAACCCCCGGGCTACTGATGGGTACCTGTCCATGGCCTGTTAGAAACCAGGCTGCACAGCAGGAGGTGGGCAGAAGGCCAGCAAGAATTACCACCTGAGCTCCGCCTCCTGTCAGACCACCCACAGCATTAGATTCTCATAGAAGCTCGAACCATACTGTGAAATCCATGTGCAAGGGATCTAGGTTGCTGCTCCTTATAAGACTCTAATGCCTGATGATCTGAGGCGGAACAGTTTCATCTCAAAACCATCCCCCCACCCCCACCCTGTGGAAAAATTGTCTTCCACAAAACCAGTCCCTCATGCCAAAAATGCTGCGAACAGCTGACCTAAAGTACTAAAAATAAGGTATTAATACTTTTCAATTTATGAACTATATATTATCTAACAATGCAAGCATGTATTAATACTATGAATCAATAAGTTATTTTTTAAATGATAGTCTACAACTCAATATTGCCTTTATATTTTAACTTCCAAATCTGGGTTAACAAAACTACTTTAGTCAAGTTGAAAGACTATGAGTGAACAGTTATATATCAGTAGATTATCCTAAGAAAACCATGCATAATAATGGACTTGCTATCCCTACCACTTAACTCACTCCTAGACTATCTTCTGCAACAAGTTTTTTTGTTTGTTTCAGATAGTGTCTAGTTCCGTCGTCCAGGTTAGAGTGCAGTGGTGCCATCTGGCTTACTGCAATCTCTGCCACCTGGGCTTAAGTGATCCTTCTACCTCAGCCTTCTGAGTAGCTGGGACTACAGGTGTGTGCCACCAAGGCCAGCTAATTTTCGTATTTTTGGTAGAGATGGGGTCTCCCTGTATTGCCCAGCCTGGTCTCAAACTCTTGGGTTCAAGTGATCTGCCCACCTTGGCCTCCCAAAGTGCTGGGATTACAGGCATGAGCTACCATGCCTGGCCAACAAGTATTTAAAAACAACTTAAGCTTTTAAAACTTGGCCTATAAAAATCATTATTACCACATTTCAAGAACAAATGACTTGTTCATAGGCAATTTATTAACAACCTCTACAAGTAATTGCTGCTGCCCTTTCTGAATCTTTTTCTTCTGCTCTCCTTACATGGAGCCATTACTGCTCTCACAACTCTTGGTTCCCTATACTATCAAAGCCCCCTGACAGTTCATCAGCAGTGAGACCTAAAATGCTACCCAGGGCCAGCTTCATGGGCATGCAACCTGTGCACCAGGCTGAGCGCAGATGGGGGCTATGCTTGCTTAGTGCTCTACTGTCACTGTCTTTAAATTCATAACTTTTTAACAAAGGGCTCCACAATTTCATTCTGAACTAGGATCCGCAAATTAGGCAGTTCTGATGTCATCTCAGGTCCAACCTAAAAAAACTGGGGATACCAAGGAGAAAGGAAAAAGTACAAGAAATCTTTTAGAAATGAAAATATCTTAGAATTAATTTAATCAGATTACAATTTCCAATGAATTTCCAATGAATAAGTAGTGACCTAAAGATGGTGAAAGTAGATTTGACTGAGTAAGCAAATAAATTACTCTAGAATGTGAAACAACTAGGATCAAACTGAACTAGGATCAAAACAACTTGATCCTATTGAATGAGGGGAGGGAAAAGAAAGAGGAAAGTGGGAATATAGAAATATAACAAAAACTAATTTAAATCACTGCCTATATGGTCAAGTGCATTATAATTTGACAACAGATAATTACCAAACAGCTTTCTAAATTACAAAATATTCATAAGTGCCTTGATTATACATTCCAATTAAGAAAAACTCTGGGCAATTATAAATTTAACAAATACAGGGCGGAAGAAATTATACCATATTCTGGTTTACCAGGAACAATACAGTAACCTGCATTTAGTTATTTCCTGTTATGTCAGAAAAACTCAGGAAAATTAGATGCAGGCAGGCATGAATCTGTATCATTTCCCAGAGAAACAATGTAATGATGCAACTATGGTGAAGAATGGCTCAGCTTTAAAGTAAAAAAGTCCTAGAAACCGAGTTTAAGAGCCACTAAAGTCTAAATCCAAATAAATTGTTCAATTTCCAAGGACAGATATAGGATATACTGGCCAGAATAATTAAGCTTGTAGAGATATCCACAATAGAATTTAGATATCAAGGAAGGCTTTGGAATCAAAGTAATTGTTAGGAGCTTTTTCGACTTTACATTTACTTAATCATTTTTTATGAAGAAATACATATTCCAATATTATCTTTCACTAAAAATCTTGATCAATAAATTAGTCAAACACCAATTAAGACATATTAACTGGTACCACTGTTCTCTCTCCTTGAAAAAAATCCAACGATAAACAATTTTGTCAGAAAAAAGATTTTCCAATCCCCGTAAAAATAAATTATCATCCTATAGCCATAACAATACCATTACTTTACATATCATATTTAAATAAAAATTATATTGGTATTATAGTGGAAACCAGTCATACGGCAAATATTTTAATTGTATTTAAAGCCAAATGGCCTAGTTTAATAACCCATACGCCAGGAAGATACACATATAATGATGTTTGTTTGAATAGTTTATAAAATCAATGAAAAGTCATTTCATACCACTGATATCCTTACTTTGACTTTACCTGTTTTTCGATGTTTCGAAGAAGTAAAGTAGGGCTGCTTGGTGACATTTCAAAATCTTGTTCCGGTACAGGATCTTGACACTCTTGGGGAACCTGAGGATTCCCTAGAATGTTTAGTGAAGCTGCTTGGTCTGCAAATTGCATTTGTTTTTTCAAAATGTCTTTTGGAAGCTGACATTCTTCTAGGAGCACTATCCCCTAGACAAAAAACAATGAGAAAGTTGAAATGAAAACAAACTGATTATTAAACCACCTTTAATGCTACAATGCACTTGAATCTATGCTTCCTCTTAACCCTTGGAATTCAGAAAACATAAACTTGAAAGTATAGTTTAACTCTGTAAAGAACTGGCTGGTTTAAAACATGTGCAGCTAAAATAACATATATGGCTGATAGGTTGGACTTGTAAAATATTTTCTTAACTTAAATACATGCAGTTTTTTCTAATTGGTTTTAATTATTGGCATTAAAAGCATGACATTAAAATAAAATTAAAGGCATATTATACACAGAATATGGACATTTCAGATTGAAATCAGAATATTTCCTTATAGAATCTTCTGATATTTTGGTCACTAGCATTTCTATTTGTGCTTTACATTTGAGCACTCCCAATTTTATAAATTAAAATACCAAATTTACAAACATCCAAACAACAATCTAACTCTATCCTAACTCCTTTCAGAGCACCCTAAGGAGCCCTGCCCCTGTTGCTGTCAGCCTGAGCAACCAGGGATAGGATTGTACCACTGAGAAAGAGTACTCTGTAGGCCAAAGTTCCCACTGCTTTCAGGATATCTGTGTTAATAATAAAGACACAAGCTTTCAACTTTGATGGGGTATATTCTCAAATGTAAGGAACTAGGGGAATGAATAGGGATTAAGTTGTCTCTGTACTCCCTGCCTCCTACTCACAAACATACTTATTCCTCAACTGGTTTGCTTGGCTTTCTCCTCCATTCCCCAGCTTCCTCACTCCAACTGTTCTCAACTTTAGGTTCCTCAGAGGCAATGGAGACAACAGAGAAAGAGAAAAAAGGAGTGCAAAGGAATGATCTTAATGGTTTCATAGTTCTCATTGTAAAATTTCTTTCCTTCCTATCCCTTCTACCACCCTTCCTCCTGAAAATAATACAGTAATATATACTGTATAATATATATTAAACATACACAGATATTGTTTTATATATGCTGACATTACATATATTATATATTATATATACACACAGGTTTTACATATATAATATATAATATATATTTGAAAAATTATATATAATATATATTTGAAATATAATATATAATATGTATTTTTCAAATATATATTACATATTAGAAAAATGCTAATAAATTCCTATAGGCTAGTTGGAAAAGTATTACACTCTTAATGTGGCTAAAATACTATATTCTTGTAATAAAAAATAACTAACATATTAATATTAGTGTTCATTATTTCAAAAATGGAATGAATTAAATGATTGTTGTGGGCCATCTATATCATGCGTAAGTCTTATTTATAAGATGGAAATTGCCTATAGGTAATAATGTGGTATATATGAGTTTTAGTTTGCACTACATAATTTAGAGAATATATAACTTTAGAATGCACATATTCAGTTATGGTATTACATGTGTATTTTATTTTTTTGTAGCAACATTTTCTGTAAAAGTACTAAATGTACTTTTTAAAAAATCTGTATTTTGAATAGTGCTAACATGCTGACTTTTCCAAGGAGAAGGGGATCCACTTGATCCCAATTACTGTTTTCTTAGAATGAACAAATATGGCTGTCAAGAAATCTGAAGAAACACGCTCAAAAGTTCTTATTTCGTTTGGTATTTTAAAAATTAAATTAGATAGTATCATCAATCTGAAAAACTCTTCAGAGTATCCATTCAAAATTTCTACAAGTCTCTCACTAGGTTTCTTCATAAGTACCTGCATGTAAAAGAAACACAAGTTTCTACCTTATCAATTTAACTTCAATTGTCTTTGGTTTGATTCCAGTTTATATTATGGGCCAGTCTGTATAGATTAGTCTGATTTCAGTCTGTATACATTAGTCTGATTTCATAATCCATATTTATAAATCTGCATCTATGGGAAAATTCTATTCTGAATTTCAAAGTTCTATTTCCAAACCTTTAGAATACTACCTTTCTATAAGTAGAAAGCCTGCTATAGTTAGTTTAATAAAAAACTTTATTTTTAAAATTCAACCAGGGAGGCAGGGCGTGGTGGTTTACGCCTGTAATCCTAGCACTTTGGGAGGCTGAGGCAGGTGGATCACTTGAGGCCAGGAGTTCAACACCAGCCTGGCCAACATAGCAAAACCCTGTCTCTACTAAAAGTACAAAAATTAGCCGGGCATCATGGCACATGCGTTTGGTCCCAGCTACTTGGGAGGCTGAGGCAAAAGAATTGCTTGAACCCAGGAGGCGGAGGTTGCAGTGAGCCAAGATCGCACCACTGCACTCCAGCCTGGGTGACAGAGACTCTGTTTTTAAAAAAAAAATTAGAATTCAACCAGAGAGACCTTCATAGTCAACTTCATAATCTGCTTCTTCCCCCATAAACTACTACCCTGCACAAAACTCTTGGAGTGTGAGGAGAGTGGCCCATTCTGATCCACCACTGCCAAGAATGGAGAGGAAAGGGTTGAATATTTAATCCTCTGGGGACACAGCAGAGAGTTTCTGTTCTTAAAACAATATCAGTAAAATGATATTCTCATACACAAAACAACAAAGGTAAGAAAGATATGAAATATTTTTAGAAAAATGAGTTACAACAACTGAAACAAGTGAAAACTCTAGCATAAAATGAAAGCCAATCAACTGTTTCTGAGAAGACAACTCTTGACAACGCAGGGTCTTCACAGAGAAAATACTGTGTGAAAAAAAAACTACTTCAGCAACATCTCTATTATTCACATAAATTCACCAAAGTTAATTTTAAGTAAAACTTTAAAAAATTTGAAACACACAAAAGGTACAATTTAAAGTGTGGAAGGCCCTACTGCAGGTTAACAAAAGAAATCTAAGAGACAAACCATTTGATATAGCCAGTGTTCTCCCAAGAAAAATATTTCAATTTTTTTCTGAGTGTGAGAAGAATCTGTTGTCTTATTAGAAAGTTTGAAGCGAGGAGAAGAGGAAATACAGGAATCTGTAATATGTTGACAAAGCTGTCACAAGAACCACCAAAGGATGTTGCTAATAACTGCTTTCTTCTCTAAAAATTTAAGCAAAGTTTAGACCATATGAAGAATGGTAAAGGGGCAAATGATGTGTTTTCTGACTTAAGGCACAAACTGGCACTTATTTAAACAGGATATTGACAAAACAGCATCCCTCAATCTCTTTCATTTCCCTTTATCTCTAATTTAACTGAGAACAATTTTTTTTTTTTTTTTTTTTTTTTTACATTTAAAATACATTAAACAGAAAGTTCTGTTTCAAGACAGTACTGGCCATCCTTCTCAATTTTTTTCTTAGAATAACTCAAGAAGCTGTAAGAGCAAGGAAAGTGATGTTTTTCTTACATAATAACTTCTCAACTAAGCTGCATATAAATAAACAACTAAACACTTTAATTCCTAATAAATGTAATGAGAAACTACTAAAATAACCAAAACATTGTATTCTAATAGCATAATTTTGTGGCATTTTCCATAAAATAAACATAATGCTATTATTAAGGGAACAAAGGGCCAGATACACATTTATCCTGAATTAAGAAAAAGGTAAGACCATCTAAATTATTACAGGGAAGTTTAGACGGCTTTCCTTAAAACAATTTATTCCAGTAGATGTTATACAAACATGCAATCAAACTTTTAAAAGAATTTAACCAAGAAGCATACAGTACTGCTTAGAAAATAGAGAATATTAAAATATCCTTTCTCAAGTTAAAGGATTATGAATCAGACTGTCTAGATTGAAATATAAATCTTATTCATCAATTTAACTTCAAACTCACTTTCTTGGAAATATCTGAACTGTTTTACACCGGACTCATTCTTAGAACTCTATTTGCCATAAAAAACATGTGTGAAATTATATCCTTTAAGGAAACCGATCAAAGAAGAGAGATTATGTGGTGATCTTGAAAGGACTGGGAAATTACTAAAACTGAAGGCTCCTGTAAAGATAACAGTGAACAATGAGAAAAAGTAACTAATGTAACATGAAACTTTCATCAAGAAACACTTAGTGAATGTGGTTCCCTCAAATCTCACAGAACTAGTAAGCCTAAGGTTTTATGTCTGTCCTTCTTCTACCTTCCTACAGATGCCACACCACTAATTCCTACAAGGTGTTAAACATATTTCATCACTTCCTAGCTTCTTTTCCTCTTCTTGTATAACACATACTTTCTGCTCCTTTAAATACCATACTACTTTGTCATTCCTGAAAATGATCATGTTGTTTCACACCTTCAAACCTGTAAAAAATGCCTTTCTCTAGTTCCACTGATTCATCAAAAAATTACTATTCATCCCCCAAAATCATACTGAGATGTCACTTTCTTCACTTAATGTTTTCTCTGACCCCTCTTACCCATAAGTATTCTCTCTATGGCACTCCAAATATCTTATAAAAACATGTATTCTACTTGAAGTATAATTTTTAAAAAAAAAACAAAATCAGGTATTACTGAATATATTACATATACTGAAACAATTATGTTTTATTTATCTCCCTTACCAGAATATAAACTCATGATAGATAGAGCCTAAAATTTATTCATCTTTGTGGACATGCAGACCCCGACGTGGGGCTGGGCAAACTACATGGTTCAAGGACTCTGATCCCTTCCCTTCTCAGCTTTTTCTTTCAAGGCCTATCCCTATCAACCTTCAATATTAGATTATCTCCAGGATGTCTACAGTATGACCATATAGAATACTGTTTCCCACAAAAACAAAGTTACAAATAAATATTTAGCAATATTTAGAATGCATAAGAACTCATTTGTATTATTGATTCTTTGGGAAAACAGACCACAATGAACATTCCCACTTGGAAATGTAAAGAATAAAAAATATATGTCAGCTATTGGTCTATATTAATGTTAACACTCTGCTGGACCAATATTGTAACGGTAAGCCATTACCCTAGGGGCATGGCTTAATTAGGCCCTGATTTGTGCTTCCTATTAAAGGGTTCTTTCCATCCACTGTTCTCTATGGCTCCT